GGAAGGTGTCCCTGCCCATGGCATGAGGGTGGAACTAGATGGTCTTTAAGGTCCCTTCCAACTCAAACCATTCTGCGATTCTATGATTTTATGGCTTTCTTAATCAAATTCCTGTCACAGCAGGGGGTTTGACCTACAGGACACCTCAAGTTTTCAGGCTTCCCTGAAAGTATCTGTGTGTCATGTATAAATCTATGATAAGCAGCAAGAAAGATCAGAGGAATGTGGTTTCTTCTGGGTTTGATTCCTTATGAGTAAATTCATCAGCTATTAGAGTGGAAGGAAACAGGTGGTGAATGTTGTGTTTGTATTCCCCCAGTACCTGTGAAGTCCTTCTTGGAGGCACTGAGCAAACACAGACTAAAGATCGCTCATAACCTGAAAGTAAGGGCAGAAAGGCCAAAGCTGTAGGTACAAAGAGTCAGGCAGCACATTTTTATTGCCTGCTCAAGACATGCAATGTGTTGTTGGCCTGAACTTTCCAGTATTGCTTTGACACCCTCAGACTTTTCAGACTTTACATTCCTGCAGTGTTCTCAGCAAATTCCACCACCCCAGTGCTGGCTGGGAAGGATCACTAGGAAAAGAAGCTCAGTTTGCTGTGTGGGATTTCATTATGTGTGTGTTCTGTTTGTAAAACCATCGAAGTCCACAGAGGGCTGACAGCAATAAAAAGTGTCATCGTCCTCATGTGAGCTGCTCTCACCTAATCCAATAATCCAGGGGCTGCAATGAGTCAGCCCTCTAAGTGCTCATGGTGTTGGACCACTGAACATGCACTAAAATCAGGACAAGACAGGTGGAAGGGAAGAAAACTTTCTCTTGCCTGGAGAATAGCATCCCAAAAGAGATTTCTGGGCGCTACAAAATCCAGGTGATAGCTATGAGTTCAGGATAAGGTGTGTGTGGCATCTCCTAGAGGACTATTCTCAAGCAGGTTTGGGGAAAGGACTGTTGGTATAGCAGAGGTTGTTACTGGGACAGCTCTGCACACTCTGCAGCTATTTCAACAGCAGTGGGAAGTGAAATCTAATCTGTGCACAAGAGTTCATGCCTTATGTGATCCTGAGCAAAAACTTTTTAAGCAAACACAAAATGCTTTGTAGTCAACAGCTTGTCATGAAAATAATTACAGTGTTCATCACTCTGTAGGACTGTGAGTCACAGAATCAGTTAGGTTGGAAAAGACCTCTGAGATCACTGAGTCCAACCCATGACCCATCACCACCTTGTCAGCTAGACCATAATACTAACTGCCACGTCCAGCCATTTCTTGAACACCTCCAGGGATGGTGACTACACCACTTCCCTGGGCAGCCCCTTCCAATGCTTGACAACCCTTTGAGTGAAGAAATTCTTCCTGATGTCCAACCCGAATGTCCCCTGGTGCAGCTTGAGTCTCTTCCTGTCACTCGTTGCCTGGGAGAAGAGCCTGACCCCCACCTTGCTATAACCCTCTGTCAGGGAGTTGTAGAGTGAGAAGATCCCCCCTGAGCCTCGTTTTTTCCAGGCTGAGCTCTGCCAGCTCCCTCAGCTGCTCCCCATCAGACTTGTTCTTCAGCCTCTTCTCCAGCTCCATTGTCCTTCTCTGGACATGCTCCAGCACCTCAAATCAGAGGCGTAAAAGGATTCACACCTAACACATATAAAAACTGGAGGGGAGGGGGATGTGCCCCAGAGCTCTGGATTGAACTGGTGTGGTTCCTCCTAATACATCCCAAAGACTAAGCATTGGTTGGATGAGAAAGGCAGAGTGGCAGGGCCACATATTGGTGCTCTCCAGTCATTTCCTTCACCATTTCCAGCCCACAAAGGGCTTCACACTTCTGTGCCCAGGCACATCTACACTTCCTTGGTGAAGGATATAGTTTCCTTGGAGGAGTATCAGACCTCCTTGTTCAGCAATGTGCACTTTGTATGACACCTGTAAAGGCAGAACTGAGGGTCTGTTAAATTGGGAAGAGCCAGATTTCCTCTTACTCCTGCAGATTTGGAGTAACTCTCTTCAAGTGTCACTGAGGTAAGCAGGAGCAGAAACAGATGTGGAGCACAGCTACAAACAGGATGTGAAAATAAACTCATTACTCCATCTGCCCACTGTAAACAGCGTGAAATTAGCAGCAAGTGAGGAATAAAAATCCAGACAAATGGCCTTTTAAAGAGAGCAGAGGGAGTTGGGAGGGCTGCTGCTAGAAAAGCAGAGGCATGGAAAGCCCAAGCCATGCACAGCCCAGTGCATATCCCTATCCCCTGGTCAGTCAGGGAGGAGAAAATTCCTGTGGTGCAGAGTCCAAGAGGAGCTATTTTTGAAGGCAAAACCAGAAAGGCCACTCCATCTTTGGGAGAAAAGACCTGCTATTGCTCCTGTCCCTGCCTGTTAGGAATCGCCATCAATTTTCTAAGTCACGGAGATTTATTTTTTTCCCTATGAGGCTCTCTCTTAATGTTGCATAAAATTACTCTCTCAGGGGCAGTGTGAGGAGAAAAACGTGGTGTTGTGTTGTCTCAGTTGCAAAGACATTGCTAACAATAAAAGCCCCTGAATGATTTGGGGTTTAAGTGACATGATTACAGAACAGGTCATTCGTGATGCTCCACTTCACGTGGCTTCAAGCCCCTCTGTCATAAAATCTGACTGGGGGTGTTTTATGCTTGGGGTTTGGGCAGTAAATATTCACCCCTGGCCTTTGTTCTGTGAAGCAAGTCTCAGCTTGAGGATATATTTACTTAAAATTTTGCAGGGAAATTTCTCAAATGGTCAATCTGCTTGATTTATTTAAAGTGAGATTCCAAAGTGTTTTACAGCTTTTACAGGCTGGTTGTGTTTATAACCATCCTGGGGAGTATCTTCTGCAATTCATGTAGCGAAGAGGGGGAAGGAAGGTCATAATTTCTACTTTAACCTACTTTTCTAGCTGCTGACATGACACTGACAAAGTCATCTCTTCTAGAATAAAACTTGATGTGCTTTATCCTCATCCAGAGGAGATCCTTCAGAGGAAGTCAGAGTAAAATAAGTCAAGTACTTTTTTTCTTTATTCCTATGGATGCTGCTCAGATATGTTTTCCATCTCACTTTATGGATCTCTGTGAAACTGCAGCCCAAATGATATTTCAAGGAAACTGGTTCCTTGTGTTTGGAGTTCTTCAATATATGACAGCCCAAGGCAGAGTTTCCTGCATGTTGAAAATAATTTCCCTCTCCACATTTGGCAGATCCAAACAAGCCTTGAGTGCTAAATAAACCAGGTCTATGAATAAATCAGAGGTTAGAGAGCTCAAATTTGAGGTGTTGTGAGATTTGAAATACCTGAAAGCTTGAGGTTGGCCATGAGGCACTTTGAAAAAGTCTGGAGTTTGATGAAAGCTTTTGCATCTGAGATGCCATTGGGATATTTCAGGAGGAAACCTCCTGGTGGGTTCACCCAAAGTTTGTAATAAACATAATTGAAATATCCGAATTCCAGCTGCTACTTTCTACTCTAATCAAGAGCAGCAGAAGCAGCTCCTTCTTAGCAAACATGCTGTGACTGCTGAGGGGTGAGAAATGGATATTCTGGGCTCAAGTGCTGAACTGGGAAGTGCAGAAATTAGGGCAGGAGAGGTAGCAGGTGGAAGGCAAAAAAGGGACTCTGTGGCAAGATCAGTACACTCTTGGAGAGACCAGAGATTTCATGAAGGCCTCAGAGATGGAGATCAGGGACTCATATTTTTCACAGGAGGGCGTTCTTCCTAATATTGTCCAAGTTGGGTCTCACCAGTAACAGAGGCTGAAGGGGGTCAAAAAGCAGAAGATGCCCTTATCTTATCTATGCTTACCCTTCTGGTTCCTATCTAAAGGGAAGACAAGTGATGTTACAGATGGGACTCCTTTGGGAAGTGTTTGAGAAGTTCTTCAAGGTCATGACAGCAGTTTCTGTTTTTATAGTGCAGCAGGATCCAATTATAGGCACAAGACCTGATTCTCCCCTTCCATAAACCAGGTTTCCCTCCTCATCACTCCCCCAAGCCATGGTGCAGTCATGCCTGACCTATGTCAACACGCTCCAGAGCATTACACCAACTGGAATGGGGGAGATTTGCCTTGTCCTGGCCTTGTCATCTCTCTGTTACCTATGTGCCATCATGCCCCGCTGAGCACAGCCGAGCCTCTGGCCCTGCCTTTGCTGGTGTGCTTTGGGGTGAACACCCCCAGGAGTCAGTCAGGATGTGGCCAAGCTGCTTTAGAAAGGAAAAGCACTTAATATCATGGAATTGATCTGCTCCAGGCATGGGGGCATGACACTACTGAGCCCTGATGAACTAATTTATTGGTGCACACATATCAATAACATCCTCCCATGCTTTTGTCTCTTCTCTCTTTATGGGGAACTGAGCACTTTGTATTTTCACAAGTAACTCTGAAGGCAATTTACAAAAGCTTAGAAAAAGTCAAGACAAAACCAGTGGGAGTCCTGGGGAGGTGGTGACAGTGAACATGGGCCAACTCCTGGGACACATGTGGGCTGACTCCATGTCAAAACACCCACACAGAGTCATTCATAGTTTCAGCAAGGTGTAGGCACAGTTAAATCATGTGCAAGGAGGGTCTCTAGTATTGGACTGCTGTTAACTCTGGAGGGCAGAAATAGATAGCTTTCCAAACCCTTTGCTCCCCCAGCTCTCTTTCTGTGCTCCAAGAAGGAAACAGCAAGGACCGTGAAATAGTCAAGTTCCTGTCATGTATAATCCTGCTACAAGACTGATCCTATCAAAGAAACACAGAATGGTTTGTGTTGGGAGGAGCCTGCAAGACTATCTAGTTCCAACCCCCTGCCATGGGCAGGGACACCTTCCACTAGACCAGGTTGCTCCAGGCTGTATCCAACCTGGCCTTGAACACTTTCAGGGATGGGGCAGCCGCAGCTTCTCTGGCAGACCTGAAAGGATATTGAGGGAGTCACAATCCATTTCCCACTTGCAGTTGCTCCACCCTCATACCACTTCTCCGCTTTTCTTGCAGAAGGTATGGCAGAAGCTGTCAGCTCAAGCAAGGACTGCCTTCAAGCAGGTGAGTCCTGTACCAACGACCCCATTTGCAGTGCCAAATTCCGGACCCTCCGGCAATGCATCGCTGGCAATGGAGCAAACAAGTTGGGCCCTGATGCCAAGAACCAGTGCCGGAGCACCGTGACAGCTCTGCTCTCCAGTCAGCTCTACGGCTGCAAGTGCAAGCGAGGCATGAAGAAGGAGAAGCACTGCTTGAGTGTCTACTGGAGCATCCACCACACGTTGATGGAAGGTCAGTTGTTCAGGGCTCTCATTTCTGAATGATCTTCCTAAAAGGAAATTGCTGGTGGGGTTTTCTATAGAGCTCTGAAGCTTGAAAGTGGCTGCAAAAGAGGTCACTCCTGTAGTGTCCTGTTTCCTCTCAAGACCTACTGATAGGACCTGAGGAACTGTGTCAGGGGAGGTTTAGGTTGGATATTGGGCAAAGGATCTTCCCCCAGAGGGTGATTGGGCACTGGATCAGCTCCCCAGGGCAGTGGTCACAGCCTCAAGCCTGACAGAGATCAAAGTGCATTTGAACAGCTCTCAGGCACATGGTGTGATTGTTGGGGTGTGCTGTGCAGGGCCGAGAGCTGGACTCAGTGATTCTTGTGGGTCTCTTCCAACTCAGGATGTTCTATGATTCTACTGACCCCCATGGTAATGACATTTTGGGGAAAGCAATCCTGAAAACCTGAGGTGCCTCCCTTTTTTTTATGATGTCCCCAGTATACCTTGAGATCTTTTGCTAGGGAAATGGATGGTGTGTTTTGCACCTCAGTATGTTAGCCAAGACCATGAACACTGTGGATTTCACAGGAACACTATACAAAGCACAGGCTTTGAGGCAAAAACAGCATGAACTTTAAAAAAATGACTCTCTTGGAGTCTCTGGAATGCACCAGTGTCTTTGGGTTAGTGAAGATTTGGGGCTGGTGACATCAAGTTGGAATTTAAAGTGTTCCCTGAGCCAGTATTCAGTAAGTTTGGATTTTGACGTTTTTTAAGAGTCATCATAAAATTGCACCTCAGTGGCCATAACTCTTCCTTGTCAGGCTGGTGAGTATTTTATGCACCATGAAAATTAATATGGGGTATAAAACAGACCCTTCCAGCCATGGGCTGTGAAATAGATTAATAAAACACTGCTGGCTGGAACCTGAAAGGAAAGGTGCAGGGGTGAACCCACAGGCCAAAAGGCCAAGCAAAACAAAGAGAATGGAGACTATAATGCGTGGGATTGCCAGAATGAGACCTGCCCAATCAAGTTCCTGGAAAGCTTTCAGGTTCCACAGCTTGCAGGGTGTAGAGCATGGTGCTATGAGCTGACTGGGGAAATAAGAGACCTCAGCACCTTCCAGGATCCAATATTTCCCATAATTATATGCCAGATGAATTAGTTTCCATTGAAGTGGAGCCTGGGGAAGAGGTGGCAATCCAGCTTCTCTGTTCATCTCAAAGGACTGTGTCCCAGCTCCTTCCCTGCTGACCTTTGTGGCTAAAGCTTTGAACACATTTCATCTGTGATGTGACTGTGTAGGACAGTGGTGTCAGGAGGATTTCCAGCTCTGGCGCCACTGCTGGAATCATAGAATTATGGAATGGTTTGGGTTGGAAGGGACATTAAAGACTGTCTTGTTCCCAACCCTCTGCCATGGGCAGGGACACCTTCCACAAGAAGGAAGAGCAGTGAGAGGCTGGCAGGGAGTGCTGGGAGCAGGCAGGGACTGGGTGTGAGTCTCCACATGCAGGTAGGAGATGGGTGCTGGGTAGCCAGGTTGTATGGGCTTCCTGCCTAGTGGCTTGGGACCTTCAGCTTGGGAATGGCTGTAAGAAGACTGTCACTGGAGACTGCCAAGGCTCTGCCCTACTTCTCTGCTGTCATGTCCTGAGCCCCATGTTTTGTGAACACTGAGTTCACTTGCAATGCAGATTCACTCCCAAAACCTTTGATTTCCTTGCCTTAACTTCCCAGGGAGTTATATTTCATAACAGTCACATGTTTCAGAGTCCTTACAACATGTTTAATTGACTGAGAAACTAAACAAATCCACACGCTCCATGTAGGGCTGTGTCTCTCAGTCACACATACCCAAGAGGCTGTAAAAAGCTTCCTAGAAGCCCACTTGTAAAAGCAATTGTGCAAGTGTGTGCTCAGGGAATTTACAAAGCACACTATTTACTCAGCTTCTCTCGAGCATCCCCCCCACCCCACCCCCTGTGCTTAGCCACCTTCCCATTTAGAGACACAATAACACGGTGACAACCTGATAACAATTTGCTGATAAGGTGCTTTATCATCAGGACATAAAACTGCTATGCTGGAACATACAAATGGGCCCCTCTCCAGTCAGTAACGATGCAAGATATTTCAATGAAGGTGTAAAGCTGCCTTGTAATGCACCTGTGGTAATTGCACAGGGCTGTGTACCCTGGGAGCCATTCCTTCCTGCCCGCAGCTGCTCATCAGCATATGCCCAGAGCGTGAGCTTTGATAGTCCTTTTATCCCAGCCAGTACATCTGCTGCTGCTGTCCATATCCATCTAAATGTCTAATAAAAAAAAATTGATACTAAGCTGTTTGATTCAATAATATTCCATAGTATCCATCAGGATGACGGGGCATTACAGCCCATTGCGCGGATGGAAGGGAAGCACCGATTGAATAAAATCAGCTTCCCAGCAACTTAAAAATGAAGGGAGGAAGTTTCTGCAGGAGCTGTGGGTCATTACCTCTAAGCCAAGCAAGAAAGGGCTGTTGGCAAGGAGAAAGGGAGAGGTATTAATAAATGTGGAGTGTGTTGTCACGCACACAACCCTGTGCACAGCCCTGGCTTAGTTTCATGGTTTCATAGAAGGTTAAGGGGATGGAATGGACCTTAAAGATCATCTAGTCTCAACCCCCTGCCCTGGGCAGGGACACCTCCCACCAGAACAGGTTACTAAAGGTTTTATCCAAAGGGCTTTGGACATTGCCAGGGTTGGTGCATCCACAACCTCTCTGGGCAACCTGTGCCAGTGTCTCAGCACTCTCAAAGGAAGAAACTTCTTCCTAATATCTAATCTAAATTTCCCTCTTTCAATTTATCTCCATTACTTCTTGACCTATCACTACAGTTCCTAACAAACTGTTAGGACCTACAGTTCCTGTCTGTGTCCTAGAAAGACATGAGGACCATTTTCCAGGGAGACACATAGAGGAAACAGGCAGAATGGAGATGAAAACTCCATGTGTGTAGGGTCCTGGTGGTTTAAACTTTGCCCATAAGCCTGTGCTACAGTCTGGTGTCCTTGGTGGCAATCCCTGTGGAGGGGCCCAAGGCTTGAGCTATAGAGAGCTGTAACTCAGCAGTTCCCTGACAGTCCCACTGCAAAGCTGTGATATATTTTTAAAAGCCAGTTACATCCTATTCCCTCCTCCAAGGATATGGCCACACCAGTTCCTGTGATTCTGATATCTGTTTACTCACAGGCTTCAGAGCACACATCCTTTGGACCCACCAAGCAATCATGCACTGCAGCCATTGTACCTCATGCTCTCAGCCATCCCTCAGGAACCTCAGCTGCCTTCTCACCAACTCCTCTTTTCCCCCCAGGCATGAATGTTCTGGAAAGTTCCCCTTATGAGCCGTTCATCAGGGGCTTTGACTACGTCCGTCTGGCATCCATCACTGCAGGTAGGTGGGTGGGAAGATGCTCTTAATTTCACTGGTTCAGCCTAGAGGGAACTGTCTGTGGGATCAAGTGCTACAGACAGGGAAGTCCATTGTGCTCCCAACTCCTCTTTTCCCCCCAGGCATGAATGTTCTGGAAAGTTCCCCTTATGAGCCGTTCATCAGGGGCTTTGACTACGTCCGTCTGGCATCCATCACTGCAGGTAGGTGGGTGGGAAGATGCTCTTAATTTCACTGGTTCAGCCTAGAGGGAACTGTCTGTGGGATCAAGTGCTACAGACAGGGAAGTCCATTGTGCTCACAAA